AGAACTTTGACATAAGTACATTTCTAATATGGGATATCCATAATACACATAACAGTTCATAAATTATTTCACATTACATAGTTAAATCCATATTCTAAGGTGTGTGTATGTGTGTGTGTATACATATATATACATACATACACCACACATATATATATTATATATACCCACTATATATAATTATAACCAAACTATAACTATATATATTTTCTCACTACAGTTGGATCCTAGGAGCAGTTTTAATCCATTTAGTAAAGAAAAGGAATATTTGATTTCCCTCCCTTTATTTTCCTGATGCATCTTTCCCTCTGCCTCAGTAAAAGCAGAAACTCAGAGGAAAAGAAAATCATGAATAATGAGTCAATTGACAAGATGAAAGGATTTCTCCTTGTGGATACACATAAGTTTATCATAACAGTATTAATATTTTCCTACATATATGGCAAAAAAATTAGCTAGGCAAAGAGATGTATACTAGGATGTTCAGTGTTAAGGCATCTGAACAGAAAAAAATTGAAATTTCATAGTCACCATAGGGAACTAGAAAATCATGGTAGAAGCCACCATGTGGAATACCAAGCACTATCAATGTGATAATAGCCAGATTCGGTGGCACACACCTGTAATCCCAACTACTTGGCAGGGTGAAGCAGGAAGGTTGCCAAGTTTGAGGCCAGCCTATGCACCTTAGAGGAAATTGTCTCAAAATAAAATTAAAAATCCAAAAAAAGTACAGGGGATATAGTCCAGTGGTGAAGCACTGGTCTAGATACATAAGGCCCCGGGTTCAATCTCCAATACTACAAAAAAATTTTTAAAAAGACTAGAAGAATGTAAATAAAAGAGCAGTGATCTTCCTTGTTGGAATTATCAGTAACTTTTTTTTCTTCTTTGTATTTTGTAAAATGATAATACAATGAGCTAAGTTACTTATCAAAAAATTAAAGAGAGAAAGGAAAAATAGATGTCAATATGTATTGCTTGGTAATTTTTCAGAATAAACTGTGGTGAAAAATACGCCACTAGAGAGATAAAAGTTACTTGTTTTCCTATTCTTGTCACCGTTGGAAAGAATCCTTAACTCTCCATAAATTTTGAGATTATTTCTAACACTGAGTTAAAGGACATGATTCCCCCCCCCCTTTTTTTTTTCAGTATTGGGGATCAAATCCAGGTCTCATGAATGCTCAGCAGGTGGCTGAACTGCACCACAGAAACCCCCCTTTCTTTATCCTAAAATCTATGTAATTTTCCAGATAAGGTGGAGAATCTATAAGAGGACCCAGATCCAGAATGAACTCATGGTATACAGAAACCTAAAATTTCTTTTCCTTTTATATTCTTTAAGTTTATAGGCTAAAGAGCTGCACATTTATTTAATGCTTTTTATACTTCCTGAACATAATTTTCATTCTTTTTATTTTTATTCTTTTAAACAACCGTATGAGACAAGTACTATTCCTACTTTATAAAACCTGGTTTAGACATTAAGCAATTGACCAAAGGTCATTACATCAATAATTAGTGGAACCAGAGTTCAACCCCATATCTGTTTAATTCCAAAGTTCTGATTCTTTCTACTACTTGACATTTGCATTTTATTTTGAAGTTATTTAAAGAAAAAAATACATTTATAATAATACCTTAGACTTAATGGAATAGCTGACTACAAGAGTTAAAAATTGCCCTGCTGCTAGTTCATACTTTATAGGTTCATTTATTAGGTTCTGATTTACTGGAATGAACTGGAATTCCACTGCACTCACATGAAAATTTAGGTAGGTCTCCAATACAGAATAATCTCTTCTCAAATGATTTTCACACACATCTATTTGTATGACTATGATTGCAAACAAACATTTAAAGAAAAAAAACACTTCCCAGAAATAAGAAATGGGTTATTATCAATAATGCAGCAGGAAAAGTAAAATATCTTGCTGCTTTATAACAGTATTTGGTAAATCATAAAATGGAAAATCAAGGAGAGACCTAGTTTCAACTTAATTAGAATTTAAACAATTTAAAAACTTGATGAAAGTTCCTACAAAGCAAATTAAAGGTTTAAAGAAGGTCCAAAAAAGATGAGTTTCAACTATTATTTGACTAACAACCTAAAAATCTTACAATATCCATTTACATTCACAAACTGGTATGCTAATTACAAACTATCCTGAGGAGTTTTATTTAATAAAATCATGTACTTTGTCTAGTCTGTTACTACAAGCTCTTTCACTTCCTCAATTGAATGCCTTTTTCTTCCTATTAAAGGAAGTACTTGTACATTGTAGAAATTTAAAACTGATTTTTTTCTTCTTCCACTAGTGCATTATTATTTATTTTCTATACCTTTATTTTATTTATTTATTTTTATGTGTGCTGAGGATTGAACCCAGGGCCTTCCACATGCTAGGTGAGCGCTCTACCTTTGAGCCACAACCCCAGCCCCCAGTTTATTTATTTTTGATTGGTGCTTTATAGATAAACAGAAGGTAGAATTCACAGTGGTATATTTATACATGAAGAGCATGATTTTGTTAAATTCATTCCACATTTTCTCTTTCCCATCCTCCCTCCCTCTTAATCTCCTCCTACTCTACAGATCTTTCCTCTATCTTTATGATATCCTATCCCCACCCCTTCTTTCCCGTATTTGGCTCTAGCTTCCACGTGTGAGAGAAAACATTTCAACCTTGATTTTTTGAGTTTGGCTTATTTCACTTACCATTATGTTCTCTAGTTCCATTCATTTGCCAGCAAATGCCATAATATCATTCTTATTTATGGCCGAGTAAAACTCCATTATGAATTCAGACCACAATTTCTTAATCCATTTATCTAATGATAGACATCCGGGAAGGGTAAATAATTTGACTATTGTGAACTGTGCTGCTATAAACATTGAAGTGGATGAATTGCTATAGGATGCTGATTGTAGTTCTTTTGAATAAATATTGAGGCATGGGATAGCTGAGTCACTTGGTAGTTCCATTCCTAGTTAACTGTTCATTTTGGTGGTACTGGGGTTTGAACCTAAGCCCTTGCAGTCCCACCAACAATGTATAAATGTACCTTTCCCCCCACATCCTTGTATTTAGTATAATTTGTATTCTTGACAACTGCCACTAGAGTGAGAGGAATTCTTAGTGTAGTTTTGATTTGTATTTCTCTAATTGCTGGAGATGTTGAACATGTCTTATACCTTTTTTGGCCATATGTTCTTGCTTCTTTTGACAAATGTCTGTGTAGTTCTTTTGCCCATTTATTGAGCTATTTTTTGATGTTAAGCTTTTTGAGTTCTTTATATATTCTGGGTTTTAATTCCCTGTCAGAGAAAGATTTTCTCTCTGTAGGCTCTTTTTAGGCATAAAGAAGTCTGATAGTGGAATTATTTGGATCTTCTAGCTATAGGATTGTTTGCTGTGCTGATTTTTTAATTTGTTGCCATCCCACTTACTGATTCTTGGTTTTATTTTGCACAGCCTGAGAGATAGGAATCTAGATTCATTTGTCTACATATGGATACCCAGTTTTGCCAGCATCATTTGTTAAGAAGTCTGTCTTTTCTGTAACATATACTTTTGGCACTATTGTCACGCATCAGACGACTAAGTATATAGGTTTGTCCCTGTGTCTTCTATTCTACTGGTCTTCATGCCTATATTGATGCCAACATCATGCTGCTTTTGTTACTTTTGTTACTCTGTAGTATAATTTGAGGTCAGGTATTGTGACGCCTCCTGCATTGTTCTTGCTCAGGACTACTTTGGCTATTCCAGCTCTCTTATTATTCCAAATGAATTTTAGTACTCTTTTTTTCTAGTTCTGTGAAGAATGTTATTGGCATTTCAATGGGGATTACATTGAATCTGTATAGTGCTTTTGGTAATATGGCCATTGTGACAATATTAAAATTTTGCCTATTGAAAAACATGGGATATCCTTCCATCTCTAAGGTCTTCAATGTCTATTTTCAGTGTTCTTCAGTGTTGTATAATTCCCAAAGGAATTTTTTTTTTTTTTTAAATTGAGAATGGTTTTTGGATTTCTTTCTTAGAATCCAGTAGTAACTGGAATATAGAAAAGCTATTGATTTATGAATGCTGATCTTGTATCTTGTTACTTTGCTGAATTCATTTATCAGCTCTGGAAGTCTCTTAGTGGAAATATTTGGATCTTTTAGATATAGGATCATGGCAGCAGCAAACAAAAATAATTTGAGGACTGGGGATATATAGCTCAGTTGCTAGAGTACTTGCCTTGCATGCATAAGGCCTTGGGATCAATCCTTAGCATCACACACACAAATAATAATAATTATTTGGTTTCTTCTTTTCCTATTTGTATCCCTTTAATTTCCTTCTATTGCCGGATTGCTCTAGCTAGAGTTTCAAAAATTATTTTGAATAGGGAAGGTTGTATTGGATATCCTTGTCTTGTTCCTGACTTTTCTCCATTATGATGCTGACTTTGGGTTTGTCATATGTAGGCTTTATAATATTGAGTAAAATACCCTCTATCCCTAATTTCCCCAGGTAAAACTATAATTTTTTTTAAATCCAAAATCTCCCTCCCAGAGATAATCAGAGTTGGCACATTAGTATATTTCCTTTGAAAACTTCTCTGTGTGACAGAGAATATACATGCTTGTATGTTCACAAACATGGAATTATATAATCATTTGTAGTAACTTCTTAAACTTTAATATATTGTGACCATATTTCCATTTCAGTTACAGTATCCATGATATGGATAATTATTTCCCTATTATTGAACATTTAGGGAAAGAACCATTTTTTGCAACTATAAATAATGCTTTAATTAATATCCTTGTACATAATACTATAAGTTCTTGTAAGAATTAAAATATCTTTTAAATTCAGCCATTTAATGGTTTAGATCTGCCTTATTACTAAGTAATATTATGAAATATAATGGTGTTGATATAATTTTAATGAACATGAATAACTTACTAATTTTATTTCCTGAACAAAAATTCTTACCGTGCAATAACAGATTCAATTGGCATGATATCAGGCACATAGTGGGCCATGGGGGAAACAAAGTGTCCATCTAGGATCTTACAGTCTGACTGCTCCTCAATCTAAAAGAAAAGAAATCAAAGATGTATTCCAGTAGACTAAGATATCTATCTTATTCTATCATGGATGTTTTTCTAATACAAAATTTTACTAAATTAAAAATTATTTTCAGTGCTTACTCTATTTACTTTTAGCTCCACTGTACTTTCTGAACCTAGCTTCTACCTACACACACTATTTTCTTCTAGATCCTTTACTATAGTCTAGTCTGGAAAATAAATAATAAATCACATTTAATGACAGGCAATAACTCAACGTAAAATAATAGTCAAGAAAATTTAACAGCATTCAACAATCCAAGAAGAATCATAAGAATAATTTTTGAGTTGGATGCAGCAGCCTGTAATCCCAGCTACTCAGGAGGCTGAGGCAGGAGAATCAAAAGTTCAAGGCCAGCCTTGAAAACTTAGCAAGACTCTGTCTCAAAATTAAAAAATAAAAATAAAAAAGGGCTGGGATCTAGTTCAGTAGTATAGTGCCTCTGGGTTCAATCCCCAGTATGGCAAAAAACAAAACAAGTCAGATGTGGTGGTTCATGCCTATAATCCCAGCAATTAAGAAGGCTGAGGCAGGGCTGGGGATGTGGCTCAACAGGTAGCTCGCTCGCCTGGTATGCGTGCGACCCGGGTTCGATCCTCAGCACCACATACCAACAAAGATGTTGTGTCCGCCGAGAACTGAAAAATAAATATTAAAAATTCTCTCTCTCTAAAAAAAAAAAAAAAAGAAGGCTGAGGCAGAAGAACTGCAAGTTCAAGGCCAGCCTCAGAATTTCACTTTCTATCTCAAAATAAGCAGGCTGGGGATGTGGCTCAGTGGTTAAGCACCTCTAGGTTAAACCCCCAGTATGGAGGGAGTGAAAGAAGCCAAACACAAAAAATATGATTCTACTTATAAGAAAGGTCCTAACTAGGGCTGGAGTTGTGGCTCAGTGGTAGAGTGCAAGCTCCGAATGTGTGAGGCACTGGGTTCAATTATCAGCACTGCATATAAATAAATGATTAAAACAAAGGTCCATCCTCAACTCAAAAAACATTAAAAAAAAAAAAAAAAAGGTCCTAACTAGTAGAATTCATAGTAACTGCCAGCAGGTAGGGGAAAGGGGGAATGGGAAATGACAACTAATGATTACACATTGGGAAGATGTTCTGCAATTAGTGAATAAAGAATGATGGTTGTACATCTTGCTAATAAATTTTAAAACACTCAATTGTACACTTTGAATTACATTTTTTTTTAATATTTATTTTTTAGTTTTCAGCGGACACAACATCTTTTGTTTGTATGTGGTGCTGAGGATCGAACCCCAGGCCGCACGCATGCCAGGCGAGCGTGCTACCTCTTGAGCCACATCCCCTGAATTACATTTTATTTTTGAAAAACCACAGGGGGATCTGTAAGAATATATCCGAAATCTTAACAGTAAGATTTCCCTTCTCCTCTGGGAAGGGAAATAGAAGTAGACGGTCGAAAGCAGAAATTAAAGGAGTTTTTTGATTTTTACTTGGTATTCTTTAGTTTGTTTAAAGGCTATAATGTATTTTTCCAATAGGGGAAAAAAAGTAAAAAATAGAGATATTTAACAAAATTTAAGTCAGGAAGCAATGTTTTAAATCCATAAACTATGAAGGAACAGTTATGATATCAAGAAGATATTTGCAACACAAAAATTTTGTTTTTAGCAGTGGAAATCTTTTTTCCCCTCTGGTGCTGGGGACTGAACTTGGTGGTACTTTACCGCTGAGCTTTTGTAATTTATTTTGAGACAGGGTCTCACTACTTGCTGAGGTTGGCCTCAAACTTGTGATTTTCTTGCTTCAGCCTCTTGTGTCACTGAGATTAGTCATGGGCCATCACACTGACCATGGGAAACTTTTTAAAAAAGGAAGAGTTCTAAAGATATCCAATACAGCAGTGGAGTGAGGGATGGGAAATTCAGTATCCCTTTTCCAACATCATCTCAGGTATCCAATATATAAATCTAGAAATATTTTACAGAAAAACAAGTAGTTGCTTAAAAAACTAAATGATTTCAAAAACATTTTATCTAATTTTACAGTATTTTCTAAACAATTAATAATAACTCTTCATGTTGTGATTCTCCAACTAGATTACTCCACTTTAATACTTACTAGTCTTCTTTAATGTTGAATAATTTACCTTAATCCTCTTGAGCCTAAGGATACAAAATGAGACTCTGAAAGATTCAGCCTAAATACTTTTTTGTACTTAGGCAAGTATCAAATATATGTTTCCAAATATATATGAATAGAGTTATTAAACACATCTGGTTAGGGGCTGGGACTGTAGCTCAGTGGTAGAGCGCCTGCCTCACATCTGTGAGGCACTGGGTTTGATCCTCAGCATCACAGAAAAATAAATAAATAAAGCTATTGTGTCCATCCACAACTAAAAAATAATAATAATAAAACAAACAAAAAAAATGCCCTACATCTGGTTAGGGTACAAATAGCATTCTGAATGGAAGTCCACTGCATTCATTATTAGGGTTTATTGTTATTATAGTCTAACATTCCATCTATTCTCCACATACATTTATGCTAAATCAGAACTTGTATAAATGTATTGTTTTCATTTGAATACCTTATCAATGTATACTGGATAATCACTCGAAACCAGATTCTGGCATCTTTCTCGATTTCCAATCATTTTTCTGAATTCAAAGAGTCTATTATAGAAAAGGAAACAAAAAGGAAAAAAAATTAGCAAATCCAATTCATTCTATTTTATTTTATTTTTGGTACCAGGGATGGGACTCAGAGACTCACTGAAACACCTTCCCAGCCCTTTTTTATGTTTTACTAGAGACAGGGTCTTGTTAGGTTGCTTAGGGCCTCACTAACTTGCTGAGTCTGGGTTTGAACTCCTGATCCTCCTGCCTCAGCTTTGGGTCTCTCAGAGTTGCTGGGATAACTGGCATGCACCACTCATAAGCCATTTTGAAATTTTTTAGAAATGTGCAGAAAATAATGAACACATAAAGATTAAAAATGAAGCCCTTGCAGTGTTGCACTCCTGTAATCCAAGCAGCTGGGGAGGGTGAGACAGGAGGATTGTGAGTTCAAAGCCAGCCTCAGCAAAAGTAAGGCACTAAGGAAGTTAGCAAGACCCTGTCTGTAAATATAAAATAAGTTTGGGGATGTGGCTCAGTAGTCAAGTATCCCTGAGTTCAATACCTGGTACCCAAAACAAAAAGAAAAAGAAAAACAAAACAAAACAAAATGAAAGGCACCAAGTCTGAAAATTAATTAATTCCAGATTTGCCCATGAGCTACAGTGAATCCCCAGTTTTACAGCCATGGGTAGACTCAAGTTACTCAAGAAAAGTCAATCCCTAGGAAATACATAGAACTCGAATTGCCTAATGAATTACTGAAGTTAGAAATCTAGCTTGTAGCTGGATGCAGTGATGATGCATGAATATAAAGAAGCTGAGGCAGGAGGATTGTAAGATCAAGGCTGGCCTGGGTGAGTTAGCCAGATTCTGTCTCAAAAAAAAAAAAAAAAAATGCTGGGGTTGTAGCTCATTGATTTGAGTACTTATGTAGCAAGCACCAGATCCTGGGTTAAATAATCAATACTGCAAAAATAAGAATAAAAATAATATAAACATTTAGTTTGTGTTTCTGACAGCTCTTTAAAATCTGAATTATTTAAAAAATAGCCTTTTATAAGCTAAAACTTCAATTAAGAAATATATAATTAAATGTTTAATTTCTTGGACAGTTCATTTTTGAGCGTAAAGGATTTTAAAATTGAAGTAAAAATGTAAATGTTACTAAAGCAACAAACTTAAAATAAGTATTCAAGGAGGAAAAAAAAACAGATTACCTTTTGAGATCTTCTGGTCTTCCCCATCCTCTGATAAAAAGTTTTGTGAGGAGAAGCCTCCGGTATAGAACATCTAACTTGCTCACCCCCATTAGTAGCAAACAGCATCTAGGAGAAAAATTTAAAATGACTTTAAATTTAAAAAAAAATGCAAATAGCAGGTCAATTTTCTTAACTACTTCTTTGATGAGGTGAAATTCAAAATTTAGAGTAAATCCTTGAATTTATTCCTTTGAAAGTAAGACATGAGATTTGGAAAAAAATGAGAACAGAAGTGGAGAAAATGAAAAGCTGCAACCTTCATAAAGCTGCATTCTGCTAGGGCAAGAGCTCCCTATCCTCTGCTCATTGACTGACAGGTACCTGATATTTATTGGATATAAATAGTAGCAGATAATACTTACATAGTATTATATTATCAGCCAGGTACTATTTTAAAAACTACAACACATACACTTTCTCTTTTAAACCTCCCAAAGATTGGGTTACAGGGAGGAGGAAACAAATGTCACAGTCAGTAGAAAATAGCCATAATCTAACTCCTACACAAAGCTCAAGATCTAAGTACCACACTATAACTACTCCTCTTGTATACCACAATGAAGGACAAGTACTAATCTGTGCTACTACCTGCCTACCATTTACCTGTCTCTTTTCAATTATTTCTAAAGATTATTTTATACTCACCTCCATCTGAAAGGTGTGGTTTTAATTTGTGTGTATAACCTGATTTAGGTTCAGAATTTATTCTACTTAGATAAATGGAAAATGGAAATTTACATTTCAATCAGTGAACTTTATTAAGTACTTATCATTTTGTATGTTTTTTTGTGAACATCACTGCTGTCTGCATACACACACACGCACATATATATGCATATAAGCACACACATATATATATTTAATTTTTAACAAACTTCAAGTTAATGTTTTTTGTCTGCCCAGGTGTGCAATCTACCCCACTGTCAACTGGGCTGGCAATTGGTTGTTTTTAGGACTGGACCAGCAAACCAAATCATTCATACCATCTCACAAATGTTTACTTGATGATGTACTTATCAGGCAAATCCAAAGTATAGCTAGAGTACAGTATTATTTTAACACTATTATTCACTCTCTAGTTTCATGTTATTCAATTACTCTTGATAAAAATTTGGTGTTGACATAATGTTAGAAAAAAAACCAGCACTGCATATACAGCTTTGTTTATATTGTTCATACCTATGGCATAATACACATAAACTGGTATTCCGGTTACTAGATTCCTATAAGTTATCCTCAATTCACCAGAGCTAAATCATCGTGGATGGCTTAATAAAAATTTAAGTTTCTGAACTATTAAGAAAGTATTGCTTACTTTTTCCTTTCAACAAATATTTTCTTCTTAAGTGCTTAAGAAATAATGCCGATCATTATTTTAGGCCCTGTGTTACAAGGATGATCAAAGCACTTTCCTGCTCTCATGGATCTTTTTTTTTTTTTAATATTTATTTTCTAGTTATAGGTGGACACAATATCTTTATTTTATTTTATGTGGTGCTGAGGCTAGAACCCAGTGCCTCACGCATGCCAGGTAAGCACTCCACTGAGCCACAATTCCAGCCTAGATGTTTTATTTTAGTGAAAAGAAAATGATTTAAAAAAATCGTTTTTACCCAGGTGTGGTTCTTGGGTTTGGAATTATATAAATCTTAAATTCTATTTCAGCCCCCAAAATATAAAATGCCAGGCTTTTCTGACCCTCTAATTATGCAGGTCTTTTTAGGCAGGGCTGGCTGTACTCAGGGTATCCAGTATCACCATGAGCAGATAATAACCCAAGCTCAGAGTAAAGATAACTCCAATTTACCAGAAGGAGGCACCATCTGGAACCACGCCAGACACTAAAAGCCCTGACACTAGCTGGACTAACACCAATGAGTTTCGGCAGAAACAGAACCCACTATTTTCAAGTTATTTATCAAGCCAAACTGACACAACTGCCATCTATGTTTTTAAATAGCCATTGTGAAAAGGAAAAACAAAGTGAAACAAAAATAGAAGTTCTAGTACTGTGCCAAGGAATGAAATTCCTTTCCTAGAAATGAGCTTTATTGCTAAGGTAGCACTCCTGGTCTATCATGCCATCTAGTACTCTTATCTCCTGTCACTTTCATACCTAAGTATTTAAACAGCCCTAATTTCTGCAGGACTTTTATCCTCATGTTGTTTATGTGTTACATACGTACCTCAAAGGCATAAATACTTTAAAAACCAACACCATGCACAAAAAATTTATTCCCACCCTCCAAAAAGACACCTAATTTTTAATTTTGTAATTTCACTTTTAAATCACCTTTTTTCTATACAAGATTAAGTAGCTAAGAAGGGCTTTAGATACCTTAGATATCCAATGTTAAAAATCTACTACAGGGGCCCAGGGATATAGCTCAGTTGGTAGAATGCTTGCTTTGCATGCACAGGATCCTGGGTTCACTCCCCAGCACCACCACCAAAAACTCCCCCTCTTCCAACCCAAAAAATCTACTACCATTGTGTAACATGTTTAATCATTTTTAACCTTACACTGGAGAAAATTAGGAAAATAGAAGGTTTGTTTAGGAGGTGGGTGGCTATCTATTTTGAAGGGTCATCTAAGGAAATATACTAAGTGGATTATTTCATAACCTCATGTGAAACTTTGAGGAAATAATCTAATCTCCTTTTTCCAAAGGGCTAAAAGTTTTTTTTAACTGTATACTTAGCCAAGGTGAGGTGGGACATGCTTGTAATTCCAGATACTCCTATAATCCCAACTTCTTGAGTGGTTGAGGCAGGAGCATCACAAGTTTAAGGCCAGCCTGGGCTATTTAGTGAGACCCACTGTTTTCAAGTTAGGTATCAGGGCAAACTGAAACAACTGGCATCTATGTTTTTAAATAGCCATTGTGGAAGGGAAAAACAAAATGAAACAAAAACAGAAGTTCTAGTACTGTGCCAAGGATTGAAATGCCTTTTTTAGAACTGAGCTTTATTGCTAAGGTGGCACTCCCGGTCTATCATATCATCTAGTACTCTTATCTCCTGTCACTTTCATACCTAAGTATTTAAACACAGCCCTAATTTTTTAAATGGCTGGGGATGTAGCTCGGTGGTGGCACCCTGAGTTCAATCTCCAGTACCAGGAAGAAAAAGAATGCTGTGTGTTCCTAAAAGATACTTAGAGCTTATTTAGATTTTGCCAGTCCTGCAAGTACTCATTGCATGTGTTTTTGTGGTCTGAAGTCATCTCTTGGACACAGCAATGGAAAGGAGCAGAATACCTGGGTCAATCCACTAGCTGTGTGACCTTGAGTAAGTCACTTAAGTGATACTTGGCCTAATGTATAATAGCAAATTATTTTATTAACATAAAAATTGAATATGTTTTGACATTTTAAAAGACATGAGAAAAGATACTTCTTGTTCTTTTCACAGGAAGCATGATAGTGAGGAGTACAGGCTTTATAGTCAGAAAGGCTGTTTTTTTCTCATTTAAACTGTTGGTTACTAGCTGTGTGACCCTAGGCAAATTAACTTAATCTCCCTACCTTCAATTTTTGTCTATTTGAGAAAATTCCCACTTTAGCAGGTTATGTATGTGCGGGTGTAGGAATGAAGTAAGGTAATTCAACAAGCATTCCTTCAGCTTACATACCTGTAGCAAACTTTCTGATAAGTGCAATACTGGCAAAAAGTTCCTTTGTCCACTACATATGTGCCATACACTGCCCTAGCCTCCAGGGATTAAAAAAGGCAATGATGGGGCTGGGGCTGTGGCTCAGTGGTAGCTTGCTTGCCTAGCATGTGTGAGGCACTGGGTTCAATTCTCAGCACATATAAACACATAAATGAATAAAGGTCCATCAATAATTAATAATTTTTTTAAAGAAAGGCAATGATGGATGACAGTGAAAAAACATGGCTAGAAAATGCTTAACTTCCTACCTATGAATTTTGTTGGAACTAATTACAGCTATTATAAATGAATTTGCAAGACCGAACCAAACAAGTACCAACTAATCAGGTCTAGATTCAGATGATTCTGAATAGAAGACACTTCAAGTTTAGCTATTCACCAGTGGAATGTACCCAGAAGTTCCCAAATGAGGCAAAGCTCAGAAATGATGGCAATGCCACACATAACATGTGGAATCTGACACAGAGTGTGAGCTTATAAACATTAGTTGAGGGGCTGGGGGGTAGCTCTGTGGTCACAGCGCTTGTTCAGCATGTGTGAAATACTGGGTTGGATCCTCAGCAACGCACAAAAATGAATGAATAACATAAAGGTATTGTGTCCATCTACAACCAAAATAATTTTTTAAAAAATTAAGTGAAATGGACCGAGTGAGCTCCACTTCCACATTGAGCGACTGCGGGAAAGTCTCTTCTCTGGACCTTTAGTGCTCCATACAATAGAAAATTTGTTTGCTTTTCCCATCTCATAGGCTAGTTGTGATCAAATGAAATCACTAGTTCTAATAAAATGTTAATTTACGGGACAAACAAGGGCTACTGCAACCAATTAGCCTACAGGCCTAGTTGTAGGAATAAGATGTTAATACGTAAAGACCGGGAAGGAAATAGCATCTAGATGTAGTGAGAACACCCGTATTTCCTAAAAATGCCATCTTCTTGGTGATAAGGAGCCTTTCGTTGCTCAGCACTTTCCCAAACCCCAGCGACCCGAGCGGAGCGGGCCCTGCTGAGTGGCACCTCGAAAGGCCCCTAGTCCGCGGGACTTCCGCGGGACCGCGGCGAGACGCCCCCTTCGGCCTCGGCCCTCGCCAGCCCTGGGCAAGGCGCCTTCCCAGCAGGGCAGCTGGGGACGAGGGGTCCGCACCTCGGCCTCCCTCCTCGCCGCCGTCGCCGCGCGCCCGCCCCGCCCGGGTCTCGCCCGCCGCGCCCCAGCTTCGCGCAGCGCCTGGCGTCCCTGCGGCTCCGCACGTAGGCGGCGCGCCGAGAGGCGCGGGACTCGGCCTCGGCCGACTACTTACTGGCCGCCGGGCGAAGCCCACGGTTCGCTGGCCGAGCGTCCTCGCGCCGCCGCCGCTCCCGGGACTCCTTTGCCAGCCCCACAGCCCCACCGACCGAAGGCTCTCCAGGAATAGTGGCGGTGGCACCCGCAGGCGGCGCGGGGAGGGAGGAGCTCGAGCCAGGCTGGGCGGTGCCTGGACCCACGCCCGCTCTCCCCGGCTCTACCCCTCCAGGCGGGGAAGCTGGCGAGTGCAGACGCGGGCAGGAGGCCGACGACGCGAAGCCCCACCCCTTCTCCCCGCCTCCGAGCGCTGGCGCCCCGCCTACTTCCGGCACCAGGAGCGCACGCGCATTGGCAAGGTTGTTTGGCCAGCTCCGGGTTTGAACCCGGGGGGTCAGGTGTCGCGGGAGCTGGCCGCGCGCCTCGGTGTGGGGGCCGTAACTATGGCGAGCCCGGGCGAGGATTCTGAACGGGAGCCGCTCTTAGGGGACTACCCATCCGGAAGCAGGTGAGCTGGGAGGACCTCTCACCCTCCCGCTGTGGAGGCCCGCTGTTACCTCCCGGGGCCGCGCCCTCGCTGACTGGGGAGCCGGCTCGGCCGGAGCCCGGGGAAGGGCGTCAGACCGCGGCGCGGCCAGCCTGGGGTTCGGGTTTACGACCTAGCACGAAACCCAGAAAGAAGGCGCTGCAGAAAACATGCGTTTATTTGAGAATAGTGGGGAGTGGCCGTCCGGGGTCGGCAGGCTAGGGCGCCCCTAGGCGCACCCGGGAGGGGCGGGGAGGGAGAGCCCGTGCCGACCGAGAGCAGACGAGGGTTAGAGGTCACCGCAGCTGGTTGCAGGAGTTGGCGTTTGTTCCTGGGCGAGACTCTCTCCCACTGCTAGGTAAGTGTCCTTGTGCGGGTGACATCTAGACTACCGGGGGCTCCAGGAGGCTCTCGACAACCCTATGTCAGGCACTGGTGCCTGAGAGCTTTTTCTTGTCTACTCGACTCCTCTTTTGTTCGAGTTTGATACAGAATGTATGAGAAACCCGAGCTGCCTCTCTGACTTTTAACTGCAGTAAAGTTGCAATGGCCAAATCGCAGCGCTGTGATGGCCAGTTAGAACTGATCACTTTCACATTTCACAAAATGATGGTTTTAATCCACACTTGAAGATACTGGTCTTAGTATTGACTCATTTAATAGTCTGATAACTTCTTGATACTTTCTTAGCAAATATGTGGGCTCCCCTTTTGTCCTACGCCAAATGTACGGATGAAAACCCATGTTTACATATTTAAGGGATAACGGGCTAGTATTTTTTAAAAATTATTTATATTTATTTGTATGGGGTGTTGAGAATCGAATCCAGTGCCTCACGAATGCTAGGCATACGCTCTACCACTGAACCACAACCCGTGTGTTAGTATTTTGATTCTTATAATTCTTGCTATTCAGAAGTGTTTATACTTTCTGTCAAATTGCAGAGTTAAGTATGTATTTTTGCCTTTAGGAAAACAGAATTAAATAGTATTATTTAAATAATAAAACAGTATTGTTTCATTCAAAACATAATTATTTTGTTAAGTAAATTAATAAATATACAGACTTAAGCTGTCTAAATTTTGATTTTTGCTCATTTAATTCTTCTTCAGCACCAAATATTTTAATCTCTTTTATTGAAACCCTCCAGTTCTCTATTTACTAAACAGAGCATATGAAATGCAGTTTTATCTTACTTGATTTTATCTTGAGATCATTAAAATGAATATCAGCATTGAAATATGTTTTAATACAATGATGTCCTGTAGGTCTGTGAAGGCATTTGGGTTTCAATAAACTGCTTACTAATTTATTCCATACTGCTATACTTTTTAAGATTATTTATGTCAGCTTTCTAGTTTTTCTGTTTTTCTGTCTATTTTGTTACTCGTGGAATATCCCTCATCTCATTTGTGTAATTGGTCAACAACCCCTGTTTTTGTTGCTCTCAGCAACCTCCCTTCTCTCTAGTTTTATTTGAGGGCTTCTAGTTTGCTGTGGCTTTGAAAACCAGGTATCTATGCTTAATAGAATTGTGTACTTCCTCTGATTTGGGGCTAAAGATCTTTCTGTTAGTCAAGTGCACGTTTGAGTGCGTGGACTTTGTGGCATTTGAGTTTCTCAGAATCACTTTTGCTTCTTGTTGTTTTTTTTTTTTTTTGTCTGTTTTCCAAACAGATTGCTCCTTGAGTCATAACTCAACATTTAACCATATTGAATGTGTTCTTATGGTATATTGCACATTCTATGACTCTGTCCAAATAAGCCTATTTAAAAATAGATTTTTTTTCCTTACCTTTGATTTCATCCAAGTGATTGTCTGATGCTCATTAGGGTCCATCTAATTCAAAGTTCCCTTCATTAACAGTTCTTCAGTTTGAGGTTCTAGAGTTAGCAATGTATTTATGGTATTGGGAATTGAACATGGAGTGCTTTACTACTGAGCTGTATCCTCAGCCCCTTTCTTTTTTTATTTTTGAATTACATTTGCAATAGTTTGCCTAGGCTGTCCTCAAACTTGAGATCCTCCTGCCTCATCCTCCCAAGTCCTTGAGATTTTAAGCATGCACCACTGTGGCCTGCTAAGATTTAACATTTTAAAAATAAAAAGAATATTTTGAGAATAATTCAATAAATATACTATCTTTAAAAACATAATTTGATTCCTTAACAAATTGAACCTGTCAGGCCTTGTTCAATCTGACTATCTGGCACAGACATGAGTCTGGTTAGCATAGTCCTTGTTGTCTAACAAGGTTGGTTATAATTTGCTGACATGGAGGGGTTAGTTTCCAATTCCTTTCTTGAGTTTCCAGTGCTTCCCAATGGACCTCCTTCATTAAGGAGAACAGTGATGGATAAACTTTTTCTGGGAAGGCCCAGATGGAAGTATTTTAGGCTTTATCAGGCCTAAAGTAAAAGTCAAGAATATAAGGATAAATACTAACAAAAAAACAAATTCTACAAAAGTTTTTGGTAAAAAATTTTAAATATAATAATAAGTGAATAAAATATTTTGTAACATTGGTCTATTAATGAGAGGAATAGCATTTTAAGAGAATGACATTTCCTTAATTGGAGTTCAAAATTAGTGTTTTCAGACATTAAATTGATAAAAAAATATCCATGTGTAAAAAGTATTCTTACCTTGTAAGTCATACAGAAAAGGTGGTGGGCTAGATTTGGCCTACAGAATATAGTTTGCTATTTCTCTCTTAGAGTAACCTAAAATGCTATAGGTGCTTCCAAGTTTTCTTTGCAATTTCAGTCTCTGTAAAAAACAATATTACTGGGGCTTCTGTCCTGATTGATCATATCTTTATAGAATCAGTTTCTTTTTTCTTATTTCTGTAGATGTTAAATCATTATACTGTTCCCTCAGTGAGCACACATTTCTCCTGTCCTCTTAGAATATGGATTCTGTTTTGTTCTTCAATAATGAATTCAAAGTTTTTTGGCAAATACAGTACTGCTATTAACCTACGTCCCCTTGTGATTTGTATATGCCAACAATAGCAAAATAGTCGGTGTGCAAATGTTTTGCCTTTTAAAGCTATCTTCTGTCTTCTAAGTATCTGTATACAATAAAGGGTAAATTATACTTTTTCTACATATGATCCATGGAAATTTTTAAAATTTGCTCATTTATATGATTAGTACAGCAGAAAACTTTTTTTCTAAATTTTTGTAAATGTATTTGTAAATTACATCTCTGTCATACCATTTGCAAACTTAAAGCAAGAGAAAATTATTAACACATAAAGATCTGCTCATAATGAGAAGGATATTCAATTTGTATAGATTTATCTGAAATGCTTCAGGTTTTAGATTTTTCCAGATTTTGGAATATGCAAAGGTAATTTTATACAGTATTTTTAGTGTGTTTATGTTTTGACTATGACCTATCATGTGGGGTTTATGTGTAAAATTTTCCACTTTGGTGTTGTGTTCATGCTCAAAAAGTCTCAGATTTTAGAGATTTTGGATTTTGGGTTTTCAGATTTAGGATGCTCAAACTATATTACTTTTTATCCTTTACATTTAGAGAATGGAACATTATAGAAACCGAAGAGCATTATAAGAGCCGATGGAGATCTATTAGGATTCTGTATCTTACTATGTTTCTCAGCAGTGTAGGTAAGTATTATACATTATAAAAATTTTAAAAATTCAAAATTAATTTTTACCTCATTTAATATTTTAAAATTACCTGTTAGGGTGTGAAAAATACATAACATAAAAATTATCATCTTAAACCATCTGAGTTCGGTGGTTTAAGCATATCTTATTCATATTGTTATGTAACCAATCTATAAAATATACTCATCCTATAAAATTGAAACTTTATACTTGTTAACTCCCACTTGAACTCCTGGCCTCAAATCGTTCTCCCACCCAACCTCCCACCCTCCTGAAAAGCTTCAACTACGTGAATGAAGCGTCATTAAATTTTGATGTAGTTTAGTTTAACTGTTTTTTTTTTATTTATGTGGTTGTTGTCTTTGAGCCTTAATTTAGTTTTCTCATTGCCATAACATACAAATAGTAAAGTATGAGAATATTAATTGGTGTTGCTTAATGAATTTTAATGTAGTATCATTATTTATAAATATATAGTTACTTAGAAGTAAAATTTTATAAGGAAATCTTTTCAGAATATCAATATCTATAACCATATTAAAAATAAGAGGGCTGATACATACACCTGTAATCCCAGTGACTCAAGAGGCTGAGACAGGAGGATCACAAGTTCGAGGCCAGCCTGGGCAACTGAGCAAGATCTGGTCTCAAAATAAAAATAAAGGGCTGGGGATGTAGCTCAGTGGTAGAACACCCCTGGGTTTAATTCCCAGTACTGGGGAATTAAAAGGATGAGGAAATATAAGAATTACCAATATTGTGAAATGTTTAGAGAATTTTTTTCCAAGTTTAGATTCTTTAAATCTGTAGGCATTGATTTTACAAGTGGTTTCTTTTAGAAGATAAATTTAATGTAGGTCATTCTACTAGACTTTTTTTTGGAATATTCCTGTTTTTTTCTCATTTGCCAGATTGGATAATAACACTTTTTATTTATTTACCTTTGGTACTTGGAATTTAACCCCAGGGGTCCTTTATCACTGAACTTCATCCTGAGACCTTTCATTTATTTATTTATTTAGAGACAGGGTTTCACTGAATTGTTAAAGTTCTTGCTAAGTTGCTAAGGCTTTCCTCAAACTTGCCATCCTCCTGCCTCAGCTTCCTGAGTCTCTGGGATTGCAGGCTTGCACCACTCGCCTACCCAATGTGTACTTTAAATGGATGAATTGTATAGTGTGTGAATTATATCTCAGTTAAACTTTTTTACAAATAGGCTTTCTAGAATTTATGATTGGATTTGGTTAACCTTTAAAATTGACAAATAAGGCTGCTCAAACTATATTACTTTTTATCTTTATATTACTTTTTATAACTCAGTGGTGGAGTACTTGTGTGAGTCCCTGGATTTGATCTCTAGCAACACACACACATATACAGAGAGAGAAACAAACAAGTAAAATTGATAAATAGCATTGGTATTTTATCACTGAAGTTCTTAAGCAGTAAAGGCTTGTAGTGATAGTGAATTTTTAAAAGATATGTACATCATGAATAATCTTGGTTCTTTATAGCCAGTACTCCCTGTATGTGACCATTTTCCTTTTTCCTAGTCTTCCCTTACAGTGAATTCTCTATCCCAAAGAACACAGGCTAAAAGCCTGCCACTTCCTGTCTAACAATGTGGCCTTTTCTCTATTTATGTCTACTATAAACACTTAAAGCTTTTAGTAATGTCTATTTAGAAATGAGACTACATGAATGAGGAGAAATAGGTTCTCTGCTTTTATTGTCTTAATATGGGCATGTACTATGATTCTGTTTTTTTCAGTCTTTAGTATTCATTTTCCTTTCAATAATTAAAAATGACACTTTTTGATAAATTACGCATTTGTGTGTACAAATTTATAGGTTTAGAATGATATTTTAAAATCTATGCTGTAGTTCCAAAAATTATATCTGTAATAGTGATTAAATTGTTATAATTGTAAATAACCAGGTTTGCCTCTTTACAGGGTTTTCTATTGTGATAATGTCAATATGGCCCTATCTCCAAAAGGTTTGTACATTTCTATCTGTTCTTTCCATAAGTAACTGTAGTAGTAGTAAGTTTTAAGTAGTTGAACATTTTCTAGAGTGGCTCTTTAGTATTCTGTAGTTTAATCTCTACTAGAATAACTTTAGAACATAGTTCCTCAAACGAGCCTTGTAAGTAAAGTAACAGAATATGTTTTGGGCAAACCAGAACACATTTGGAGTAAAATGGATGCTATACTAAGAAGACAGGATTATAGCTGGACATAGTCTTAATGCACAAAATATACAATTGATATTCCTGAGGGATAATTTCATATTTTTCCCTTGGAATTAATCTGGATTGTTGGGCAACATTATGAATAGAATAGATAATATGCAGTATTCCCTTGGTTTTCTTGGGATATTGATATCTAGGACTTCCTACCCCAGGATACAAAAATTTATTATGGCTGCTCAAATCCCTTAAGTAAAATGATTTATTTAAGTAAAATTTACGTATAATCTCTTCACATTCTCCAGAGACTTTATTTATTCCTAGATTATATCTAATAAAGTGTAAATGCAATGTAAATGTTTGTTAAACTCTATTATTTTTATGTGTAATAGATTTTGTTATTAATTTATAAAGCATAAACCAATGTGATTCTGCATTCTGTATACGGGGTAAAAATGGGAGTTCATAACCCACTTGAATCAAATGTATGAAATATGATATGTCAAGAACTATTTAATGTTTTGAACAACCAATAATAAAAATTTAAAAAAATTTATAAAGCATCATATTAAAAATAAACATAGAGGGCTGGGGTTGTGGCTCAGTGGCAGAGTGCTTTCCTGGCATGTGTGAGGCACTGAGTTCGATTCTCAGTGTCACATATCAATAAATAAAATAAAGGTCCATTGAGAACTACAAAAATATTTAAAACATAAATATAGAAAACTTGAGAAGGTTAAATTCTATTATTTAGAGAATAATAACTAGGGGAAAAAGTCTATGCTTATTCAGTATACTTTTCAGTGAGACCCTGTCTCAAAATAAAATAAAAAATGGGTCTGGGAAGGTAGCTCAAAGGTAAAGCA